TGTTTTTTGTTGGTTGAAATTAAGGCAGAATAGAACTAACGGTGCTGTGTTTCCCTCTAGTTATTATTGCCATCATCATCATCATCATCATCATCATCATCATCATCATCATCATTTGAAACATATTCAGTAGAGCTGATGCATTTTCCGCAGTTTGAGAAATCGCGGGTGTGACAGGAGTGGGAAGGGGCGTGAACTCCCTTTTCCATAGGCCTAAACGAGATATATGATGAGAGCGTCGTGTCATTGTTGCCTGTTTTTGTTATTCAGTGATTTTGTTGTCCTATGTATGGAAATATTTGTTGTTTATTTTAGGATTGCACATAAGATTGTGAAGCTAAACATATGGCAGGCAGGATAATGACAAGAGCGGAACGGAGTGGGGAAGAGAGGTGGAGAAAAAAAGGAAATTGAAGGAGGAGGGAGAGAGGAGATAGGTGTTATAAGTAAGAGAGATGGGCTCTAAATGAAAGTGAGAGGAAAGGGAATGAAGACAATGATAACAAAAGTGGAATGGGGTTGGGAAGAGATCTGAGTTTCGAAAAGGAAGGGGAAGAGAGAAGAGCATAATAACAAAAGTGAAAAGAGTAAGGAAGAGGAATGAGAAATCAGAGAGGAAGATGGAGGAGAAGAGAGAATGGAATAAAACACAATGACATAAGCCAAAAGGTGTAAGGAAAAGGAAAAGTGGTCGAAAACGGAGGAAGTGAGAAGAGTGGAAAGCGCGGGGGGGGGGGGGGGTACGATATATGATGATAACAGGGAGATGAAGGTCACGACGGCATGTCATTAGTGATTTTGTTGTTAAGCAGCGTCAGCGTGTCAAGCGCCCAGGGAGGAACACCGACGCGGAAGACATGAAAGGGTGACACGGAGAAGAGGGAAGCAAGAGTAAAAAAAAGAGGGAAATGGAAAGTGGAAAGGAGGACAGATAGAGAGATAGAGTTGAGAGGATAGTAAGAGAGACGTTGAATGGAAGATAGATTTGAATTTCAGAAAACTTTGAAAGAAAGAAGGCTTAGCCACTGGCAGGGAGACAAATCTGGGGAGAAAATTATGGGGTGATAGAAGTGCTTAAGAGATAAGAATGGGCACATTCATCATAGATCGTAGGAAGGAAAGAAGAGACAAGAGATCAGAAAAATGAAAATGGGAAGCAGTAATAATGAAAGTAAAGATATGTAAGGCAGAAAGGTGGAAAAAAAGGAAAAGAAAAACATATAAAGAGACGCACTTCGAAGCAGACCGACGAAGGAATTGGGGAGATATGAGGGACTAGGAAAATAATGAGGGAGGCGTGTGGAGAAACACACAATCTGACAGGTGGACAGGCAGGGCATCCCAGGCAACCGAGACTCCGACGTGAGAGTCAAAGGGCCGGATGCGAGCCTGTCAGGTCGCCACGAGGAGCAAGGCGAGAGAGAGAGAGAGAAACAGTAAGAAAGAAAGGAATAGAGGATGCAGATAATGATGATGATGATGGCGGTATAATGTTACTCGTTAAAGAGCAGCCTCGGCGTGCGTGCGCAGTGCCGCCTCGCCCGTGCGTGTGAGACGACGGAATCTTTGGGCGGCCCTTCGGTTTGTTGCGGGTGGGTGTAGGGGAGTGGGCGGCCGGGAAGGATTTTAGGAGAAAGGGTGTGGGTGTTGGGGGAAGGGGAGAAGGGTTTCCACTTCTTCTTGGAGGGAGTTAATGAGCTGCGGTTCATATTTGGGTTCTTCTCGAACGCGTAACTCTATCGCGGAGGTTCACGCGTTGGAGAGCCTCGTTCTTGTTGATTACGCATTCGAGTGTGCCCCCTCACCCCTCCTCTCCTGCCCCCTCACCTCTCCTCTCCTGCCCCCTCACCCCTCCTCTCCTGCCCCCTCACCCCTCCTCTCCTGCCCCCTCACCCCTCCTCTCCTGCCCCCTCACCCCTCCTCTCCTGCCCCCCTCCCTCTCCTCCTCTCCCAGCTTCACCTTCTTCAGTCTTCTCCAATTTTTATTTGCGCATCGCCGGCACAGCCGCCTCGATCGCCTTTCGCCCAAATACGGAGAGGAACCCCAAGTGTCTCGGAGAAGTGAGATTTGTGAGTTTGTGAAGAGGAGAGGTTGCGAGGAGGCCGAGAAAGGGCAGGGATGAGGCCTCGCATGTTTGTGTGTTTGGCCGGAGAATGATACTCCCGGATCTGGCTCATCGTTATGCTGCTGCTGGCGGCGACGATACCTGGGGGAGGAGGTGCCACCGGACTCCCAGTGCCATCTCCGTACGCTGTTTGTAGTGCCGGTACTCTCCGGGGACATGCGCCCTCCCTCCCTCCCTCCTTCCCTCCCTCCGCACATGCCGACTTACGTACGCAGACACGATCGCCATGTCTCCTCACGAGGGAATGGAGCGGAGGGAGTGCGTGCTTGAGATAGATCAGATGGCGTCACGTTATTTTGGCTGCATTTACGTCAGCAGTGTTGCGAGAAGAGGTCGTCTTGCCTTAGTGTGCTTGGCGTTTGCTACGAGTTCGCTGGAAGAGCCCAAGTTATTTCACTATTAGTTTGATCGTTATCATCGCTGTTGACATTATTATTATTATTATTATTATTCATGATCATCTCGGGGTGGGAGATCCAAAGATGGTCTGGTTTGATCGCGAGGCAAAACCTCTTTGGTACGCGCGACTCGCAGGTTTATCGTGGAGAACAAACTTTTTGTACCGTTTGAGACTAAGGTCTTGGACGTGATTCAAGTGATTTATTTGTGCAGCAATATGCAATATTCCGTCATAAATACATAAATTAGTCGAAGCGAAGTCGACTTTAGTCTGACTGTAATCATATTCTGTAATAATAATCTTAGCCTGCACATTAATGCAAGGAGGAGTGAGACTTTTTTAACGTTGTGTATATTACATTGCAGGGCATTTGTATCAGGCGAACGTGTTAGGGAATACGCATTTCGTGTGAGAACATGAAAGTAAACAGTTTAATCTCTGTTCACCGTCACCTTCAGTGTTGATATTATTGTTGTATTTTTTTCGTGGTCTCGATTATAAATTTTCTTCCTTTGGACAGTTTTTGTCGTGTGTGGCATGGAGCGTGTTTAGACCGAGTGGTACGAATGTTTACGAATATAATAGGTTTTCCCAGTAAAAAATTAGAAATGCATCCTTCCGAAGCAAGGGTGATGTGTGTGTGTTTGTATATTCATGAGTTGTAAAACCATTTACATTTTGTAAACCCCAAAAGACATTCGTAAATAAGAAAAAAATAGACTATGTAGCTAGCATCACTGAGGATACCTGATAACGTAAGTTGAAATTACAGTCTTCAGATTAATGGCCGCGGGACCACATTAGGGAAGAGGGGTAAAGAGCGAGAGTGCTGGGCCGAGAGAGGAAGAGAGAAGGGACAAACGGAGAGAAAGCTGAAGGTGTGAGGACCCCCAGCCTCGCGAGATAAAATCTAAAGACGTTGTCGCTGACTCGTTCCCTCGACGTGGCGCCGCCTGTCGACCCGTGACGACTCGGCGCAAGGACGACAATGTGACGGGGAGGGGAGTGGGGGGGGGGGGGACACGAAGTGTTGGAAAGCTTTGAGAAGGAGTTTCATAAATGAGGTCATGTTTTGATTTCTGGTATGGTTCCGACGGAGGAAATACTGTTCGCGGTTAAAATGTTTGGAATACATACAGTATAACATCCAGGGAACTGGCTCATGTGTTTATTTTCAATTGCTTTGTCCATTGTAATGTTCAGTAAAGACGTCGACTTGTAAGGTTCGTGAAAACTTTTTTCAGTCAAATTTTGGCCTTTACACAGTGACATGTACCAAGCATCATTGTGCTCATGGTGATTTGTTGTCATGTTGAAGCCGAATGGAATTAGTGTTCATTGGCAGGGTTCGTGATGCATAGAGATGAAGGAGGGAAAGACAGGGGAGTCTCTCTCTCTCTCTCTCTCTCTCTCTCTCTATCTATCTATCTATCTATCTATCTATCTATCTATCTATCTCTCTCTATCTCTCTATCTCTCTCTCTCACCCTCTCTCTTCCTTTCTCTTTCTCTCTCTCTCTCTCTCTCTCTCTCTCTCTCTCTCTCTCTCTCTCTCTCTCTCTCTCTCTCTCTCTCTCTCTCTCTCTCTCTCTCTCTCTCCCTCCCTCCCTCCCTCCCTCCCTCCCTCCCTCCATCCCTCCATCCCTCCCTACCTCCCTCTCTCTCCCTCTCCCTCCCCCTCCCCCTCTCCCTCTCCCTCCCCCCTCTTCTCTCTCTCTCTCTGTCTTTCTCTCACATCTCTCTCTCTCTCTCTCTCTCTCTCTCTCTCTCTCTCTCTCTCTCTCTCTCTCTCTCTCTCTCTCTCTCTCTCTCTCTCTCTCTCTCTCATCCTGGACTGTCAAGGGGAGGCTTGTTCCCTGGGATTCACTGACACATATGGTAATTTCTTGAGGAATTTCTATTTTATATTGCTTTTAGAAAGGAGAGTGATCACAAAACCCAAAAATTCAAGCTCAGGATCTTACACTTACAATACTAAATCATCCAGGATGAAGCCAAAATTTATGTTGAAGGTAAACATTTTTAAAGCATATTTCCACATTCATATTATTAGATAATGAGAGGAAGAATGTATTTGATTATAATACAAAGGACAGTTGATGTAAATGAGCATCATCATTTTCTCTTTTCAGCTGATGTTTGTATTATTATATTAATGATTTATTTGCTTAGTAAGGTAATGTAAAATTAAATGAAAGCATGAAATTGCACAGTTAGAAGTGATACCCATAAAATGAAAACACATAGATTAATAAACGATATTACAGTAATCATAGCGAGCAGTAGTTCAGTAACAGTTCTACAGATGAATAATGGATGCAGGTAATGATTCAGTAATAATGCTGAACTCAAACAGAGGACTACTAGTACAGTATGATCAGCAATGATTCAACAGTATAATACCTCTACATGTACAGTCCTAATTTCATGAAACCAGGTTTCCTGTATACTCATAACAGGACTTTCTTTTGCAGTCTGTCAGCGAGCGAGGGGAGGCATCCAAAGGATCGACCACATCTCTGGGATCGACTATCAATAGTCGTCCTTCGTCAAGGGCTCCTTCCCTTGGGCCAGAGAATGGCGACATCGATTACAAGAAGGTGAGCTATGAGGGCGATGCAGAAAATTTTGTTGAGTTGGATTTGGAAGTTAGGGGATGAGTTGGATAAGGACAGACTAGCTTGCTGATTCATTATTCCATATTATCAGTATTAAACTATCAAGCCATTTTTTATGTTGAGGAAAGTTTTCTATGTTACAGCTGTTATGTAGATCTAGAATTTTTTGTACTGAATTATCAAGGATATGATATGATATAATTTTATTTTAAAAACTGCTATTCCATCTAATTTCACTAAAGAAAAAGTATTTTTATCATTCTTTATAGTTGTATGAGGAACAGCTGGAAGAAAACTTCAGAGTTCATGAACGCCTTCGAGACACAGAGTCTGAGCTGCGGCAAACACGAGAAGCAATTGATCTCAACAATAAGAAGGTAGGTCAAGCTGATCTGTTTCTTGCTTTCCCTTTCTTTTTCTTTTTCTTTTTTTTTCTCTCTCTCTCTTTATTTTTCTTTCTCATTCTTTCTCTTAAATTCTCTTTTGTGTTGTTAAATTTGTGTTGAAAAATGAATTGAATTTTACTGTGTTTATTACCCTTCCCCATTTCTCTCTCAATATATTCTCTCCATATATCCTCTTTTACATGATACTTTTTACACTTGATGAATAGGCATCACATGATGGATATTCAAATGCATTAAAGGTAAACAGTCTCTTTGTTAGTATTGCGGGCTTTGTCAGAGAATATTTTTTAAGCCCTGCCCCTGTCCAATGTGGAGTCACAAATATTCAGTTCTTTATTATCTGTTTGCTTGGTAAATAAGGGCTAGCAGAAATTATTTAGCAAGTATACCATGCCAAATAACTAACCACAAAAGTAATTAAAATTCAACATTGCTTTGTAAAAAAAATTATTAAAAAAAAGAATCAGGACTAAAGGTGGTGAGCAATTGTTCAGTTACACAGAAACTATTACCATTGCAAGGTATGAAGGAGGGGCAATGTTTAAAAATAATATCCTTTGTGATCCCACTGTAGGGCTTTCCAAGAAACATTTCTTCTTACATGAATGTAGCACATTTGTAAACCTCTTCCCTTTTTTCTTATTTTTCTCTTTTCATCAACCATCTGCCTGCCTCAGCCTTTCTCGCTTTATATGAGTGTGTTATTCCCGTGTATCTTAAACAACTGCCACTGTAATAAAGATGATGATGATAGTATTTTCCAAATTCCTGGAAATAAAAAGCTAGGGCTTTTGTACTGCATATTTTTTTCAATTGTGAAATGTATTCAGAATAACAAATGTAGAAAAGGTATGAATGAGAATGAATATCTTCACAATACAAGAGATCTATTTGACTGGTTTCGATTATATCCTTGTCATAAATACATGTATTTCTGACAAAGATATAATCAAAACTGGTCAAATACATCTCTTGTATTGTGAAGATATTCATTCCTATTCATACCTTTTCTACATTTTTAAATTGTATTATTACCACTAATAGTTATTATCCAGATACCTGTATTTGTTCTAACAGTGAAGCTTATTAGTGAAACAATCTTTGGATATGCACGCACACGCACACGCACACGCACACGCACACGCACACGCACACGCACACGCACACGCACACGCGCACACACACACACACACACACACACACACACACACACACACACACACACACACACACACACACACACACACACACATATATATATATATATATATATATATATATATATATATATATATACATATACATATACATATATACATACATACATACATACATGTACATATACATATGTGTGTACATATATATATATACACATACATATACATGTATAAATATTATATATATATAATGTATGTATGTATATGTATATGTATGTGTATGTATACATATGTAAATGCATATATATGTATATATACATACATATATATATACATACATATATACATACATATATATATACATATATATATATACATACATATATACATACATACATACATATATACATACATACATACATACATACATATATACATACATACATATATACATATATATATATATATATATATATATATATATATATATATATATATATATATATATATATATATACATATATATATACATATACATATATATATACATATATATATACATATACACATTATATATATATTATTCATGTATTTATATATTTATTTATTCTCTGTGTAGGTTGCATAACAGCCTATCTGAATATCTTACCTTTATTTCATTCATTTGCACATGTTATTGAAACAACGTTTCAGGATTGTAATAAACTAATGTGATTCCAGAACAACACACGTCTTGCGATGGCCGAGGCGGACAAGCGGGAGAAGCGAGCCCTTGAACGCAAACTCTCGGAGATGGAAGAAGAGTTGAAGGTAAGAATAGCCTTTATTGACATTAGAATTTTTTGTTTCAGTTGAACACCTGGAAAATTATTTATTTAGGTTTATGCAGAGACTAGGGATATCTTGCCGGAAAGAGAGGAGGATTTAGTAAAAGGCTTAAAATTTGTTGCCATTTCATGCATTAATAATTGAGAGAGAGAAATAAGGGAGAAAGGATTGCATATCTTATAATTTGTATGTGTTTGTGTGTGTGTGTCTGTATGTGTGTTTGTTTGTTTTATACAAGTGAGATGCCCACAGTCAAGTCTTAAGATTTATAGATTGATCCTATATGAAGTGTTGTGTAAATGCTTTGTAGAATCCAGTTTTACAAACAGAGTGAAGGGAAAAATAGGTATTTAGGTTATATCTGTAGATGATGCTAGTCTTTATGCACAGGAAGTATCATTATTGATGACACGTATTTTGTAAGATGATGATGATAGTTAAAGATGAAGTGGTTAAAAAGTGTTTATAGTTGAATCTATAGTTTCCTATGCATATATTTCATTTCCTTTTTGGTGTATAAGAGAATTAAATTTTCACATTTTGTATGAATATTTGATTTTATATATCTTGCCAAAGACATGTTTAGATATTGTTGGCATTGTTAAATGAGAAGACATTGACAAATAACAAGATAGTGTAGCAAGCAGTATGTTTCATATTTTATCCCTTGCCACTTTAGAGTATATGTAGGTCATTATGATTTTGTATAAGATTCATTAATTATTTTTTATGTTTGTTTATTGTATTTTCTACCCTGATTGGAAGTTCCATACATTTTGTTACTTATCTTGCATTATATATTTTATTTTATGTTATCTTTTTCACCCTATTAGATTTGTGCTTTTTGCTGCATATTATTGGAATGTGATCACATAGACAGTGTCAGGAATTGGTGATGAGACTAAGTGCACTTATATTGTGTGCTCTGATAAGGAATCCAAATGCTATTCTTCATAAAATTGGTTATTTCTTATTCATATTATTCTTATTTTCTCTATTTTTTTTATTGATTTCCTGTCTTGATTTCCTCGTTAGAGCACAGCCATTCATCATTGCCTGTTGAACCCTTCAGGGATTGGAATTTTTCCTAATTTTATTATGATGATTTTTTTTCCCTTCTATTTAATTAGTATTGTATACGTTGATATGCCTAATTGTATTTTGTGAGAAAGGTTGTAAAACATCAGGAGATATGAAGATTGATGTTTGATTTTGAGATCTCTTACCCAGATTATCCTTTAAAGGAATGATTACTTATTTCATGTGTTAGTAAAATTGTTGTCAGTAGTAAACTGAATAACACAGGAAACAAATAATATATATTTTATATAAATATATATATATCCAACTTAATGAAAATACTTAACAATATCGTAGTTTTAATGTGAATTACTGATGTTGATTATGATCAGAAAATATCAGCATCTTTTATTAAAAGACTGCTTATTTGAAACAGATGTGTCCAGTCAAAAGTGACAGTACTGTCAAATGAATCATTATTGTTATATACTTGATTATGTTGAAAGAGCAATCTTACAGTCTTCCAGGTTACCTTATTATAATGGCACAAATCCGAGATCTTGAAGATCCTAATATTTCATTTTCCCAAATTAACAATAAGTATAAAGTTTAAACCAGAGTAGCTGCCAAAATTCTGGAAATCATTGTTGTTTAGTGGATACATCTAGTGGTTGTAGGACATGACCAATTGAGAAGTATAAGCTTCAAGATTTTTCTGTTGCATTTGAGCTGTATATCCCTGAAGGTTCTATCAATAGCTGAGCTTGCAGTCTTGTTTGATTTTGATGCTGAAGCTTCACAAAATTTACCATTTCTTCTCTCTGCTAAGAAATGCCTTATAAGAACCCCCCCACCCCCCCCAAAAAAAAAAGAAAAAAAAAATCTGCTTTTGCATGTGGGACACCATATCAACATCTATCCAAAGTAAGAAGAGTAAAAGGATAACAAAAAAAACAAATAAACATGAAATTAACACGTAAAAATGGTTTATTGTCTTTTTAATAAACATAGTGCATGTGCACCCAAGCTCATTTACTAATCATTCTTGTCTAGTTCACTATAGTGACTTCCTGTCTGAACTGTAACTTCCTTTCTTACAGCAATTGCAAAAACTTAAGGCCGAAAATGAAAAGTTGAAGGCTGAAAACCGAGCCTTGACTCGGGTGGTGTCCAAATTGACCAATTCAGCCACATCGGGCATGGGTAACTTGGCCACCTTGAGCAAATAGGTAAAAGAGCATAAAAAAAAAAAAAACATTGGGTAAAAGAGGGTCAGCCTGCTGCTAGTGTGAATGACTAGTGGGGCACCATCTAGCATGACCACACTGCCTGCGCATGATCATCATTGCAGTGTTTGTTTTTTGTGTGTTTACTTTGCTCAGGCCTTGTGACGCCCACACACACTTTTTGAATGGCAGCAATAAGAGAAGTTCCATGATGTGATCTATGCTTTTTTTGCTAACTCACAGTTCATTATTTGTCATATTGCTCACTATGTTATTTTATGGTACATTCTACCACTGCTAATTCAAGTGTAGTATTCCAGACTATACATAAACCTTTTTTGCTTTATGGTGTGTGTTTTGATGGATTGAAAATAGTTACTTTTGCCCAACTTTCGTAATGAAATTGGTGTTAATGTTTATATATACCATAGCTTGTTTTGCAAACATTTTCAAATTCTACAGTTAAATTAATGTTGAAGTTAGGTAAATGTATTTCTAAAAGGAGGGAAATAATCTTTTCTTTCTGTTTTATATTCAGTTGTTTTCTGACTTTCCTTGTTTATGAAGGTCTTGAATTGGCATGAATAACCTGTGCAAATAACATCTCTCTTGTTTCATTGCATGCATGTTTTGTATAATAGAACTTTAAAGTTTTTTTTCCCCCCCTTCATTTTTTGCTTTTAATTTTTCAGTGTTTTTGTAGACCGTAGTCTGCGTGTTTTTTTTTACAGATTGGTGTAGAGCTGTGTTTACCTACATTATAGGGATTTTTGTTCTATCAATTTTATGGTAAATGATATATTTTTCTGTTTAACAAAACTGATTTCTTCTTAAATGATGCTAGGATGTAGTCAGTCATGACTAACATTTCGCTCACATTTTATTTTCACAGTTGCTGGAACAACTGAAGCAGGAGAATCAGCGTTTGAAGGATGAAAATGGGGCACTCATCCGCGTGATCAGCAAACTGTCAAAGTAGTGAACACTCAGCTGTGAATGTTGCTGCAGAAGGATGCTGCAGATGATTTGGTCTTCTGATGAGAACCCCTCAAGCTGCAACCCAGTTGTTACATAACTCTAGAGGAACTCTTTGGATGTTCTAAAGCTTTCCTGCAAAACTGTGGGTGACTGTCAAGTCTTGCTGGGTGTTCTTCTTGCTATTTAAGAAGTCCTAGTAGCTATTCAATAAGCTGGCTCACTGCCCATGGCATATTCTAGGCTTATCCAGTCACCAGAGTCTAGTGCCCAAGTAAATGTTGTCACTGTGTGTAGGCCCAGTATATATGGTGTAGGTGTTCATACTGTGCCTCGTTAATTGGCTGGTTTTAGTCTCAAAGCCTGATGAAACATTGTTAATCTGAGAATCATGTTCCCTCAAAAACAAAAATAAATAGTAATAATAATAATAATAATAATAATAATGATAATAGTAAAGTTATATATTGTTAAGTACTTAAAGTATTGATTGTTATAATGTGTTAGAAATGTTAATGCATTTACAATGCCATTATTAGTTGTTACAGGAATCAAGCACTTTGGAATAATGATGTCCAGATTAAAGAGTTTCACTACATAATAGTTGCTCCTGATGATAGTGATAGACAGGGAGAAGTTAGAGAGTGTATACCTTTTATGCCTAGTGGATGCTGGCTGAGACAAAGTAACTAATGAAGAGTCTCACTGCCAGGCTGAGATGTGAAACTTTATGTAAAGGAGTTCAGCCATTGGAAGGGTTTCACCACGTCAAAACAACTCTTTTTGTAAGTGAATTTGAGTCAGAATAACTGCATTGTGATGGCTCAGGCTCACAGTTCATGTCATAAAGACATGCTTGTTGTCCTTGTAACTTAGGACTGGTGTCCCAGCGGGCTAGACGAGTAGTCTGACTTGCATGGAAAGAATCCCAATGACACACTCGGCCAGTGGCTCCACCTTTCCCCAAAGCCAAGTAAAACGGAAATTTAAAGTATATTTGTGTGTTTTGCTCTTGTTGTCTAAGCTTCACATTTTCCACAAACTTTCCTAGTACTTTCATTATTTTTATTTTTTATTTTATTTTTTCTTTTGTAATTACAAATACACTTTTAGTATTGTCAGAACGTACCAGTAGCCATTGATTGGCTTAAAAGGATGAACCTTTGTTGTCTGAGACCCAACACATCAATGGCCAAGGCCAGTTCTGCTTTAGCTCTGTGTCCTACAGTCAGTATTTGCTTGTACAGTGCCCATGCTGGATGTGTGGAAGATCTGCTGTACATTTGAGCAGTGATGTGTGATTTGAGAATTGTAACCACTTGATAAGTAATTGGTGTATATATTATTAAAACTGGCCTTGTCAGTCACCAAAGCTACAAGCCAGATTGCTCTTTACTTAAATGTTTAGCTTATGCATTTTCAAAAGTCATGGTTACAATCCTCAGGAACTTAACTGAAAAGCAATGCTAAAAGGCACAGAAATTCACTCAGTGCTGGATGTAGATTTGAACGTAAACCAGAAATCTTGTTGATAACCATGTATATTCAAAGGTGTACATAGAAATGTCAAATCCATAGCATAAATGCAATCATGATTATATATATTATGTAATGAAACATTGACCTTAATAATATTTTCTCACATAATACCAGGTTTGCATTAAGGCTCTGTCAAGTGGAGAGCATTTGTATCTTTTCTTTTTTCCACCTTTATGGTGTTCACGGTAATGTTTTTTGTTTTAGCCTTTTTTTTTTCATAAAAGTTGACAAAAGTCTTGATTCTCAGTTCAAATTTTCTTTACCAGGTCATTGACTTCCACTTCAAGAAAAGTCTGGTGAAGAAATTATATAAAAATATATATATATAATCTATTTATTTTTTGTTATTTATTCTCATTGCTTGAAAGTATCTTCAATCTGCTAAATAAGATGAAGTGTAACTGTGATTTGAGAACAGTTATAAAATCAAGAATAAGGTTGCCCATGTTTTGCCAACATGGTAATTTTCCTTTATCATATAGAAAAAACACACAAATAACAGTGTAATTGATTTTCATACTGCTATGTAAATGGTTAATATCTTCTGTAAGATTTTCCCTATTGAAAATTCTAAATGCTAAAACTGCTATGATTGTGAACCAAGTGTAGTAATATACATTTTGCAAAATGATTGGATCTTCTATTACTCAGATGGGTAAAGAAAAAAACTTATTTTTTTTACCTCTTCAATTTTCTTTAGTTTTCTTTACTGTGTTAAAACATGATATTATGTAGTGTTTATTGAACAAAATAATTAATCTCAAGTTGGTCATGATTTGCTGCACATCACCAAAGCAATAAAGCAATAATGCTCTAACAGGATTCTTGTTTTAAAAGGAAATGCATTATATGAATTGGCTTCATCTTCTTCCAATCTTTTGTGACAGATACACTTTTCTTTAGGTCATATTTATGCTCTCTTATGGTGATTGTCAGCAATAATTGCAGAAAACAGCAGATTAAGATCTCTGCAAGTGCCTTAACTGAAAGCAGATGTTACCATGTATATATTATTTTTATGATTGATTTGAGTGTTAGTTTATCATTTCCAGTTGAGAAATCAATAACATCTGTTACTTTTTTTCTATGATAACTAATAACGAGCCACAAAAACATAAGGAGAAGGTCTAATAAATGTCATCGTAGTCATATAATAATTGCCTGATGAGATTCTGTGCCTTTGTTGATAGATTGAACATGAGCTCATTTGAGTATGTGAAGACTTGCCTTTGTATGCGCTGTTGTAATCTAGAAAGTGTAAAATAGCTTGCTGTAAACATGCCTCTTTTGTAAAGCAAAAAGTGTAAACTGACACAAAGGTTAGTTTGAGATAAAAAAAAAATAACAAAAAAAAAAATCAACTATCATATATGTTAATTTTTATAATCACTTAGATTATGCCATGATTATTTATGCATGCTGGTCATTGAAGAACAGAAGCATTGGTAGCAGATGAATTTGGTATTATTCTTTGGCCTTGTGCATTAATAATGTTGGTATGATTACCAAGTGAAAATTTTGTAGAAAAGCCTAGTCAAAGACAGATTACCTTTGTAGGCTTAAATATGTATCGAACACAAGTTGCTTCAGATTATTTGAATCTATTGAACTTTCTCCATAAAATTAATTACACTCCATACAGATTCTTAATGATATTTAATAGTGTGTTTTTTCATGACAGTGCATAAATTATATCAAGTGCCTTTCTCTTGTAATTATTGTATGTGAAGGAATAGTGATTTAATTATTCAGTTATTGTTCTGCAGGTCATTATAAACCATTTGTAAGATTATCATGCATTGGTCTTGCCACATTGTATGTAATTATTTGCAATAGATGGTAGTCATTTTTCTGAAATCTTACATAATTATAATAAATATTTAAGAAAATAAAGATATTTTATAGTTA